ACCCTGTTAATATCAAGCAAGTTTGTTGGACACGATCTTGAACCGTCTCCTATTCTCAACGGAGTTTTCATCTCACGATCCATTTTAAAGTTACAATCTTACCTCGTTTTCTGTCTGCCAAGTGCCTTTCGTACCAAAATTACTTCTGCATTCATCGTCTCTTTGTCTGCAGCCAAATCTCTGTTCATCCCAGTGGCCTGTATTTCATTTCCGCAACTACTCGCATAATCGGAATCACCAAGTTCCTTACTTCGCCATCTATATTCTTACGAAGCTCATGATTGACAGCGTGTATATTGTAACGGCTGGATAATAGTCACGACTGGCGGGGAAGGAAGGGCGTCATCCATACCGCAACACGTCACAATATTATGAACTCACAGCGGGCCCAGTTGCTCTCAACGTATGACGGATAATTGTCAGACGGCCCCCGCACATACGTACATCCAGGAAAAATAAAAGAGAAGGAAAAGGAATAGGGAAGAAAGTTTAGGAGATAAAAGTACGAAAGTTTTAAGCGAATTCAAGTTGAATTTATTACAGTTCTCTTTTCCAGTAGCATGCAGTATTAACCCAAACTACTTTCAACTTGTACAATTAACATAGAGATTTCTCATTCTTCCGGGTATGTGCTTAAATTTTCGAAACAACAAATTCACATAAATGACACTGAAAGATTCAGTTTCCTCCTCATAGGTAACATATTACGTTTCCAGTACAAAGGCCAGCCGGTTAATGCTGTGTAAGAAATTACCTCTCTTTACTGCGAGAACTACATGAATCATATAACGGTCAAAATGCAGAGGTTTTAGATGTTAAAGCAGACTGTACACATAGTTATCGCTGGGCTTTACGGGGCCTTATCAGAAACATGGTAGACATATATAAAATCGATTGGAACACTGTATTAAACGCGAGAATTTTTAAATGAACACCATAAGTAGAGGATCAATATATTTGAAGTACATGCACGTTATCTCCTGGAATGTAACGCTTTGTAGTTCGGTAGAGGTTCTGAAAAGGTTTGCAGAAACATACTTCTCCGTCTTCAGGATAGAAGAAAAGGACAAACAAGCAAAATATTGAATTCGTGATAGCATAATTAAGGTTTAAAGGGGATGTTGTTAAAACCTAAATGTGTCAAAAACAAGTAATTTCAATAGCTTGAGAATTTCTGGAATTGCAACTACATTTGTACTTCGATACTGAACTTGACATTATGAAAATATTCACTAATCGGATCTGCTACATAGAGGAAAACTTTTGACGAAAGCTATGTATAAAACAAACTTCCTCAAAAGAACTTAACCTCTTCTTTTCTTAATGAATCTTATAACACAAGATCAAAATGGACATTTCATTTCACCACTAAACACCAGACCAAACTTCTTCAATCACAACAACAATTGGATGTGTGATTTGGCCCTCAGGTACAAAATAAACACTGTCGGACACCTTATAATTTTCACTGTAGTAACCTTTTCAATGGCCGCGCCATAGCTCAAGCAGTTAGTCGCTGGCTTCCCACCGCGGCGGCCCGGGTTCGATCCCGGGTCTGGTCAAGTGGGATTTGTGGTGGAAAAAGTGGCGCTGGGGCAGGTTTTCTCCCAGTACTTCGGTTTCCCCTGCCAATCTTCATTCCACCAAATTCTCCATTATCATAATCAACAGGGGCAGGTACAATAGGGCAATCAGTGACCTACGTGTCGAGTGAACCCAGTTGGACACCACCCCTCACTATGGGAATTAAAAAAGAAACCTATGCTTCCGTCCAAGTTGTAGTTTCGACAGGCCGGAAGGCCGCGGTTTCGAGGAGTTCTCTAATCCTTCCAGCAGCACTACGGCCCTGGGGTCGACTCAGCCTCTTAACTGAACTGAGTACCAGGAATCTTCCTGGGTAGTAAAGGGCGGCCGGCGCGCATGGCTGACAACCTTACCGCCATCTGTGTGCCTATTCATTCATCAGTAATCTGCCAAGACGACAGGTCCACAGTCTCTTCCAAAACAGTTCCTCCACTTGATGCGATCTAGAGCTTTCTCCTTCAAATGAAAATATCCTCTTCTGTCCCCAAGGTCATCCAGCATCTTCTTACGTCTTCTTCCTCCTCTTCTTGTCACTTCTATCCGCCGCTCTATCTTTCCTTTAATAACTTCTTTTTAGAAGGCAGTTACCGCGTAAGATATGACCAATCCAATTAGCCTTCCGTTTTCTTATTTCGTGCAGGATATTCCTCTGCTCACTGACTCTAAATAACACTTCTTCATTTCTCACATAATCGGTCCAACTGATCTCCTCCGTCCTTCTCCAACACCACATTTCGAAGCTTTCCAGATGTTTCTGATCTACTGCCCTAAGTATCCATGTTTCAGCCCCATACAAAGCAATGCTCCAAATTTAGCATTTCACTAGTTCCTTTCTCAAATTTAAGTCCAATTTGCTGGTAAAAAGATTCTTCTTCTTGATAAATGTAGCTTTTGCCATGGAAATTCTAGATTTAATTTCACAAGTACGTCTTCCATCATATGTTAAGAAGCTACCCAAATATTTAAAACATTTCACATTCTCCAGTTGTTTTGGGTCTATCTTTATTTTGACTGGGGTTGGTTGTCTCGAAATTTTCATTACTTCTGTTTTTTCCACATTCATTTCCATGCCATAGCACCTTCCAATTTCGATTAGTCTATCAATCATGCCCTGTAGCACGGTTTCTTCCTTAGGCATTAACACAAAGTCATCTGCACATTTCACAGTTTGAATAATTTGCCCTCCTAATTTGAAGTCTCCAAGCCCATCCAGAGCTTCTTTGGTAAGGCATTCGCTGTACAAGTTGAACAAAATTGGTGATAAACAGCATCCTTGTCGAACTCCTCTTCCAATCTGCACACTTCTTGTCTCCCCTCTGTTGCGCCTATTATCTAAACAAAATGTAGGAGCCTTGACGTCTCACAACCCTGTAGGTCTTCATGGCCTGCTACAGGGATAGCTTTACATGTATATAGATCGGTCTTACTTGTTCGTAGCAGAATTAAGGGATATTAATGCATTAGCTCAGCTCAAAGTCAGTACACGAAACTAATTAATTTGCGGTGGAGTTGAGGTTCTCACAGCGGTGAATACGAGAGTATCTTCTGCGATGTAACGCCGTGTAGTTCAGTAGAAATCCATCAGCTTTTCAGAGGAACGTCCAGTCTTCATCTGCAGGTTCGAAGATTAAGTCAAGAAAGGAACTAGCAGGTAGAAGACGGATAGTGTAGTCATTAATTTATTATATGAAGGTTTGCAGCTAGAGATGGCGTTACGTTTTGCAACAGCAGAATTCCAGTCAGTTGCACATCTGCAGGACTGAATGCGTGTACTGCTGTAATTAGTGCATAATTCTGTGATATTCATATTTATATTTATATTCATAATATTATTATTATTAAGTCTACAATCTTTACATAAACGGAGACATGACCTTGATGCACTTTTCTTGTTCAGGTTTTTCGTGGTATTAAATCCTGCGCTTCTCTTTTGGAAAATGTTAGCCTTCGTGTTCCTCCCAGTAATCTTAGGGACTTCTCATTTGATGTTTTTCCTTCTAATAAACACTGTCCTTCTGCTCGGTGCGCCTATGCTGCCAACGCGGTGAGTAAAGATCTCGACATATTTGCAATCGGAACGGTTTCTGTCAATGACACTGAACCTAAAATTGTTAATAATA